AGGGACTTATAAGTACCATAACCCCGATTAGGGTCCCTTTTAGGGTACTTATAAGTCTACTTACTACCTACTTACTAAGTCCCCCGACCCTCCATGTAACCATTATACAAAGCTTACCCAAGGGAATGGGTTCAATATAGCTATTTGGAAAAATTTCACAGGCGTGCACGAGTCTCTCCGGCATCCCAGAAGCAGGGAGTCAAGAAGGTATAGTCAAGATCCCTAGGCAAAACTGCATGATTCTAAGTATTCCGACGACCACAGTAATATAGGGGCCTTAATAATTAGAATAGGGTTTTGGGGCCCATTATACTATAATTATAATAAGGAACCCCCACCATAATATTGGTAATTATTTAGGCTTCTACAGTAACCCTCAAGCACTAGACCCGACTGCCAGCCAATTTTCACTCCATGGCTCCGGGTTTATGGTGTGCGGATTCAAGGCTAGGGTTTAGTTACTTTACTGAATTTAGAACCCTAGCAAAAATTATGATTTTAGATGTTTCTTAGGGATGATAATGACCAAAAATTGAAAATTTTCTATGTACCCCTAAGTTTTAATTAGGGTTTAGGGTTTAGGCTTGGGCTCAAGCTGGACCTTGATTGACAGCTGGTACGGGTCGAATCTGGGTTCTTCTTGCAGATCGTGGAGAATGCTGCCGGAATAACACGGGCGAAGGTCTCGACTTAGGTTCCTGAAAACCCTGTTACACCGCTACCACAACTTGCAGGCACAGCCTTTAAAATAAATGTGTATACCCTATGGAAAGATGTTAGCAAGACCCCTAGACCCGAAACCCTAAACCCCAAATCCTAGACTCTGAACCTTCTTCCCCAAGCCCTAAATGGGGCTAAAAATAGGGGACCCTAACATAGTACCGTAAATAATAGGATCCTTATTATAAGAACCCCAAATATGGGACCCCTAATTTTCGGAAAGCCCTAAATGCCTTCAACCCTAAACCCTAAACCCTAACCCCTAAACCCCTAAACCCTAAGCCCTAAACCCTAAACCCCTAAACCCTCAACCCCTAACCCCTAAACCCGAAACCCTAAACCCCAAGAGCCGACCTTCTTGGGCGAGAGCACGGTGGAAGAAGCACTCCTTTCTTTGAATACTTCGAATAAGGCTCCCTTTAAAGGGGTCCTTTAGGGAATCACAGGGTTTCTTTAAAGGGATCTATAAGGGCTACAATAAGGGATCTATAAGGGCACTATAACATTTTTTCGGTCAAGAGAAGGGGCCAAGACAGGGGCCGGGGCCTCTAAGGTAAGATTAAAGTGGGGAGGCCGGGATATTCATAGTAAGTTATGGTAAGAAACCCGAAGCAACAATGTCACCACTTCTTCGAGCTGTTATGTTGGGAGTCAGGATTAGGGTGACCCTCGGGGATATAGACCCTCGCAATAAGATCCCTTTAAAGACAGCCAGAAGTAGGGTTCGGAAGGGTTACCCTTGAAGGGGTCTCCCTCATCATGCTACCCATATGTTGGAGAGGACTCCCGGGTAGCTTAGGGTTGGGTCTCCGTGGTCAGGGCTGGTGGTTTGGGAACCAACACCAACCACATGGTTCATTCTGAACTAGGTTTAGGGTTTAGGGTTTAGGAGGTTTGGTATCCTTGGCCAGTTTTCACAGATCGAGAACCCTGTTTTGTGTTTAGCATGCTAATGACAAGCAATTCTTCAACGCTTGTGGGATCTTTTAGCATTTTAGCGAACCTATCTGAGAACTGCTTCTCTCGGTCGTTCCCGGAACAGATAGGTGCTGCAATAGAAACAAAGCAAAGCAAAAAAAAACAGACAAAGGAACTGCAGACCCATGCTCCCTATAAGGAACCTACCCTTTTAGGGCTCCCTAAAAAGATTCCAGTGCACAAGTCCGTAAAAGGGTAGGTGACTTGGGGTTAATTAAGGTAAGGCCTAAACCTTGGGGCCTGCTCGTCCCACAAAAAAATTATCATTCTGTATGCAAAATAGCCAAAAATACAAAAACGCAGGCCCCAAGACAGCCCTTCTTAAACCTAAACCCCGGCGAAACCCTAAAGTTGTGGGTTATCGGGCTTTGGGGACATCCTCGAAGCATTGCAGGAGGAGGCGTATGCAGCGAGGTGTAAGGAGACTGTTGCGTGGCTTAGGGTTTAGGGTTTAAGGGTTGAGGGTTTAGGGGTTTAGGGGTTTAGGGGTTTAGGGGTTTAGAGGTTTAGGGGTTAAAGGTTAGGGTTTAGGGGTTAAGGGTTTAGGGGTTTAGGGTTTAGGATGGCTTTTCTTGCGGTGGGGCTTGAGGTCTTTCACAGCGCGGTCAAAGGTTGCCAGGATCTTGGTGAAGGCTTCCAGGGATCCGCATATCGACATATGCACGTCCTTCTCGAACATACACTGTTTCACCTTTGCCATGTTCCGCCCCACCAGCCAGTTCTCGTAGTTGGGGGGGATATTCTTCGTGGCGGCGGTCAACAACTGCGCAAAATGCGGAAGCATCTCGGAGAACAGCGGATCGACCACAGTCGTGCCCAGCAGCTTGGTGATCTGCGTGAACATCTCGGGCTGCAGTTCAACTTGGGATAGACTTGCCATCTTGCCAACTCCCCTAAACTTCACAGTGCCTCTGAACCCTGATCGCTGGACCGCGAAACCTCAACCCTGCATCCTTTGCCTCAGCCGCCGCAACCGCTCGCGAAACCCTAAACCCCAAAAAACCTAAACCCTTTTTTGCATCCAGCCTGCAACGCCTCTGCTGGGAAGTAAATGAGCGACTAAAGCAAACCTTCAAGTCTGCCGTGCCACTCATCAGGTATGACTTCAAAGGATGCAGCAGTGGACAACTCCAGAAGTCCCTCCGCCACTCTCGAAATGACTGAAAGGTTTGAATCAAGATGATGTTGTGTGAGACTGATGTTAATCACAAGGAAGTTGTACTGCATCTGACAATGCTTGACCAAGGTCATCAAATCAGAAGCTTGAAAGTTGCACCCAAGCGAAAGCTGCTGAAGGCCACGTTCTTAATCAACCCATACAAGCTTCCAAATTCCCTGAGCACTAATGATTAGGATTTCAGGACTTAGACATACTTCGGCCATGATCAGAATAAGCTGAAAGCTGATGTTGGGGACAATGATGATGACATGGGTGATAACGATGGCAATGACGACGAAGACGACACTGTAGATTGGCCTCTCTGAAACGAAAGGGTGATGATCGTCTGCGGCCCAAGGTAGGGCCGCAACTGCCGTCGAGGCTCGGGCTGTGCTTGTGCAAGCTCCCAGAGCAGGTTGTTAATGAACTGCTTCTTCAAGACAGCATTCTCTGCCAGCGCTTCGATGAGCTGTCTTTGAAGGCGGCTGTTTTCCGCCTGCAGCTGTGCGCAGTTGCAGCACTCTGCTCCCGGGCGCTGCACGTCGCCGCCTAGCTGCGGCATCACCAAGGGTTCGCGCGAGTGGCCAATGAGCTTCTGCAAATTTCTACGGGACTCCCCGCTTTCACAAAACACCTAAACCCTAAAACCCGAAACCCTAATCCTCAAACCCTAAAACCGAAACCTTAAACCCCAAAAGCTAAACCCTAAACCCGCAGACCCGAAACCCTATACCCCAAAACCTTGAACCCTAAAAACCCTAAACCCGACGCCTTAAACCCTAAATCCCAAAACCTAAACCCTAAACCCTCAAACCCTAAACCCGAAACCTTACACCCTAAAACCCTGAACCCCAAAACCTAAACCATAAACCCCAAAACCCTGAACCCTAAAACCCTAAACACTATAGATTCCTTTTTTTAGAACCCTGATAGAACTCTTTAAAGGAACCCTAAGTAACCTCAAAATGCCGGCCTTGGAAGTGCTTTGACCACAAGCGTCGTGTGCGGCTCCATCGCGCAAGCCATGAGTGAGGCACGACCGTGAGGATCGAAACCTCCAGCCTACCAGGAGCCCCTCAACTAGGATACCCAGTAACCTAAGAATAAAAAGGCCTCTCTTTTTGGTATTGGGTAACTTTATAAGGAACCTAGGACTACAAAAAGGGAATAAGGGTACTACTGGAGATCCTAGGGCCCTTAACAGGATGAATACTGCTGGGAATTCCTATAATTTATCGAGGATACTGATGCTCCAACTTTCTGGCTTCCACCTCAATAGGGATCCACGGGGACCCCCCAATGGCCCTTTAAGGGAGCCCTTACGGTCCTGAACAGTGGGCATTTATGGCATAGATTACAGGATAGATGGGGGGTCTAAGTAGGGCTAACTGAAGATCGAAGACGCCACTGGGTCCTAGGTAGTGTAATGGCGGGATACTTACCCAAATCATCATGGTCATTCCTAATATAGGAACACGTCATTCTACCATATAGGTATTGGGACCTTTTGGGACCTCCGACAAAGGGATAACTGTTTAGGGGCGTTTCGGGCTTACGACCCTAAACTCACACAGAGACCCATAAGCCCTCTAAACCTCCTTGCTTTGATAGTCTATGCCTACATCGACACGGCTTTGGTGAGCTTCTGCCTGAGAGTTGTGAACCCAGTCGGGATATGGTAGAGACGTCTTGCATTGTAAAACCATCCAACTTCGACTGTCGCTCGGGCTTTCGTGAATCCTGCTTCCAGGATGATAGGACTTACCTGAGGATCCAAAAACCTGCTGTGTTGGGTGTTAAACCATCCAATTAAGGGGTCATAGCCTATTCTTTGGTAGGATTTGGGGATACAGGTAGTAACTAGGGCTATTATTCGGGTGACTAGATGTAGCTCTTACTCTATGGTTATACTAGGAAACCCCTTAGGGTGCAGAAGCCGCAGATGTGCTTTGTCAGGGCTTGCAGTAAGGCTTAACCCTACCTGAACTACCAAACACCTGCTTTTCTGTAGGGCCCTTATACTTTCCAGATGTTTAACGAGACGCTAGACAGAAACAGGTTATGGTAGTTTGAGGTAATCAATAAACACTAAACCCTTTTCCCTGATCCGGGGCAACCCCAAAATCGAGGAGTGCCATTTTGCTCACACCAGCGTCGCGTCGAAGAACTTTCCCACCTTTGGAATACCCAGGCCAAGGTACACCTGGGGTGGGCTGCGGATTGCTGGGTTTTGGGGTGAAGGTTTAGAGTTTAGTCGGGGCTCAGGGTGGTATTATTCATAGGGATCCTTGAGGGGTGTAGGGGACTATATTTCCTTAAATAGGCCTTACTAGTCCTTATTATGGGCCTTAAGGCCCCCTACCCCCCCTCCCCCTACACCCCTAAGGATCCCTATGAATTATAGGGTCTGGGGTTCGGGGGTTTGGGTAGGGTTTTGCGTATGATATCGAAAGCGAATAAGCGGGTACAAATTATTCCGAACCCCCGCATTACTGGGCTCTTGTTTAAGGAGTTTAACTTAAGTTCCCATGCTAAGGAAAAAGATATCTATTATGGCAACTGAAACAAACCTCAGGCCCTAAACCCTTAAAGGAACCCTTGTAGATCCCGATTAAACCCTTAAAGGGAACTTCACAAATTTGGAATATGGTTTCAGGGTGGGATACCATATAATTAGCCATAAAGGGTTTAGGATAATCATATTCCAACTTTCTGGCTTCTACTTTTAAAGGAACCCTTGTAGATCCCTATTCTGGTGCAAGAGGCTGCCCATATACTACCATTACGGAATCGGGTCCCAAAAGACCATATACCTATTATGGCTTTAGAGACCTATAATTCCATAATGGTACTTGAAGGATCCTGGGACTTAGTAAGGAGGTTATAATTGGGGTTATAAGTCCCCTAAGTGGGGTCATCCTAATTTTCACCTACTTATACCGTACCTTACTTACTAAGTCCGATGAACCTTTATACCCTAAACACTAAACCCCTCTCGGGTTGCTACGGTTTACAGTAGAAGCCAGAAAGTTGGAACATGGGTTTAGGAGGATTAGTGCTAGGATCCCTTATCCTTTACCTTACGGGCATGAGGATACTAATGTTCCAACTTTCTGGCTTCTACCATAGGGTTTAAGGCTCAGGTTACCGGAGCCCTTTGAGGGCCGGGCCCGGGGCGTTGGATATTGAGCTGAGGCTTCGAGGTTTAGGAAATAGGGGTTTAAGGGATTTACGGGCAATAGGGGGTTGAGGGGGTTTAGGGGGCGTAGGGGGTTTAGGGGTTTAGGCGGTTTAGGGTTTAAAGTTTAGAGGTTTAGGGTTGAGGGGTTTAGGATAGTTAGGAGTTCTGTTTGGGGCCCAGGGTGGAGGCAGAAGAAAAGTTCAGGGCTTAGGATATTTGGACTTTATGCAGCGGTTGAAATTACAGTCAACTCCATAAAGTTGGAAACCGGATATAGGCCAAATAGTGCTGGCATTTCCAATTCATTACTCTTAAGGACTTAGGCTATTGGATTTCCAACTGTTGGGCTTCTACTGTATGTAAGACTCTAGGGTTCCAGGTTAGGCCTTTGGTGCAGGCTCTCAATAGGCTTTGGGGCGTGCTAGGGCTCACAAGAGCTTGATCCCTGCGGAAAAAGAGCCTGAAAGCCTTCAGCCCCACAAACTCCGGGATCTGTAAGACGTCATAAAACTTCTAGTGAGTTGTACCATCTGGGTGCTCATTTCGATGGGTTCTGGGGACAGATACTTGTTGGTTCCCAAACATGATTTAAGCAGTATTCCTTCACTAAGGGATATCAGAACCCCTCTAAACCCGAAACTGTATAGATCCCTTTAAGGAACCCTGTACAGAACCCTGAGGAATATATTCCTTAATTAAAGGATATTGGAGTCTCTAAGCTCTAAGTGGTGCCAAGGTACGCGGTCGGACTCGTTTCGGGCCTGCCAGCTCGATTATCTCTGGCTCAAGTAGGGTTTAGGGTTTAGAGCTTAGGGTTGAGGGTTTAGGTGGGTTTAGGGTTTACGGCTTAGGGTTTAGGGTTTAGGGCTGCGAGTCTTGGGCTATCCTCCCATACTTGGAGGATCGCGAGGCTTCGGACCTAGAGCTATGAGCAGTTTAATTTGGGTTATCAGTTACCTTAGGTATCGATATTTTCTTTTGAACCCCGGTGGCAAAGTCCCTATACTCTAATCATTTAAGTATAATGCCGAAGAACCCCCTGGTCTGCAGTCGGCCCACCTTCTTAGAAGCTATGAAGGACTCGCAATACAGGCTGCTTGGAGTGAAGAATGCTTCAGGATGCAATTCGCAGTGCAAACCCCCCTTCTTTACACTACCAAATAGGCTCGACGAAGAAAAGGAGCCGAAACCGTTTCGGGCTTTGTTTGGGGTTTACTTAAAGGATCATGGGACTTAGAAACTGAGTTATAAATAAGGATAACCCCCAATTAAAATACTTTTCACCTTACTTACTAAGTCCCATGATCCTCCAAGTAGGGGCTAGTGCTTCAGCTGAGCAGCCCGAAAGTCGGATCCCTGAAGCCGGCACCCTGAAATCTCGAACCAAGACCCTAACCTTTAACCCTAAACACCTAGACCCTAAACCCTAAATTTCGATTCCAGACTCACCCTAAATTTCCAAACCCTAAACTTCCCTGAGCCCTCGATGCCTAAACTCCAAACACTGAATCCCGTTTATCCCGGGGCACTACAGTGCTGTGTCGAACAAGACGGGAGAAGCACGAAAAAGAGCCCATGCAGGACCTGTTCTTGGGAGTTCCGCCCCATCGCCGCACATGTCACAAGACACTACCTTGAAAACTAGAACCCCTAACAATCTAAATAAGGGTTTGTGGTTTGTTGCAAACAAAAACTATAGTGAGGAGCCCACCCAAACCCTGCTTAGTCGAAACTCCCAAACTACTAAACCCTGAACCCACGCCTGTGCATGCCTAGTTCTTGGTTGGGACAAGACTAAACATATACATGTTTAGTCCTTATTGGTTTAAACACCCATACACATGTAAAATGTTACCCAACAAGGGTACCCTTATTATAATGGGGCTACTCAGGAACCTGGCTTAATAGCCTCTCAACCCGAAACCCTAAACCCAACCATGACAAAGATCCCGCCTCTTGCACGCTGGAACGGATGGTATTGGCTTTCCTGGGGCAGGAGACTCGGTAGTCTGAGCCTTGGGCTATTTGAGCTTTAGGTTTTGGAGTTTTAAGGTTTCGGGTTAGGAAGGAGTATTTGGGTCTATAGGGCTTAGGGATTAGGGCTTAGAGGGACTTAAGGTTTAGGGTTTGGAGTTTTAGGGTTTAGGGCTTAGGGTTTAGAGGGACTTAAGGTTTAGGGTTTGAAATTTTAGGGTTTCGGGCTTAGGGTTTAGAGGGACTTAAGGTTTAGGGTTTGTGCGAGCGCCGAGATGGTTCCTGAGGAATGCAAGCCGCTTGCTGTGGATCCCCTCCGCTTTGTGAAGGCCAAGGAAGGGGATCAACTTTTCGGAGGCCGGCCGGTTTCTCACCGCCTCCCTCGTGTAGAGGCCGACGTCGGCCGAAGTCACAGCCAACCTGCTGCAGGATGTCGCAACGCTCCTCCAGCTTCTCGAATTTCTTTTGCAGTTGAGAAAAGGCTTTTGCCCGAGCCAACCTCGCTGGGGGAGGCCAGTCGATCTTGTCGTGGAGCTCCTCCGGGAAGTCGTAGTCCACAAAGAGCAGGTAGCACACGCCCTCCGAGTCGTTGAGGGGGTCCTCCTGATTCAGCACGGAGCCACTCCAGTCGATCGGAGTCCGAGTCTGGAAGCGACTCGGCCCAACCTGAGGTGACCGGCAGCGCTTTGGTCATGGCATCGGGACACATGCTGCTAATGTCCAAGTACATCAATCTCTTGCTTGGCAGCGACGGGTCGAAGCTTTCCAGCCCCTCGAAGTTCGCTTCGCTGTGCGGTTAAGGTTTGGGGATTGGAGTTTTAGGGTCTATAGGGCTTAGGGCTTAGGTGTTAGAGGGACTTAAGGTTTAGGGTTTGGAGTTTTAGGGTTTAGGGCTTAGGGATTAGGGCTTTGAGGAACTTAAGGTCTAGGGTTTAAAGTTTAAAGTTTTAGGGTCTATGGGCCTTAGGGCTTTGAGGGACGTAAGGTTTAGGGTTTGAAGTTTTAGGGTCTAGGGCTTGGGGCTTAGAGGGACTTAAGGTTTAGGATTTGGCCATTATACTATGATAATATTCTAACACGAAACCCCCCTACAATAGTGTGGGTAATTATTTAGGCCCCTGTATTGAACCTTAAACCCTTCAAACACGAAGAATAGGCTGTGGACTTACATCACACAGCAACTGAAAGAAATGCTAACCCAGAGGGTCCATGCACACTACTGTTGTGGAACTAAGCCCTAAAAGACCATCCACATCATAGGTTTGGGGACCTAATTCCATAATAGCAGTGTATATGTGAAAGATCATGGGACTTAGGAAGTGGGTTATAGTCGGGGTTATGAGGCCTTTGAGTGGGGCTATCCTAATTATAACCTACTTAAACCTTACTTACTAAAGCCCATGTTCTTTAAGTATGGACCCTCTAGCTAAGGAGAGGCCAGCAGAATCCGAAGCGCATCAGCCTCAACGCTGAAGAACCCCAAAACCCAAGCACAGGGTTTACGGTTCAGGGTTTAGGGTTTAGGGCACTAGCAGCAGAACTCCTACAAAGGGCCTTCATGATTAGAATAGGACTGTATTTGGCTGTTAATAAGGTGCTGATAAGGTGTTCACTTGATGTTACTGACGTCTAATCGGCGTTTGGTTAAGAAGTATAAAAGCGGGGGGGGGGGGGCTGGATGATTAGAATGGGACGTTTTTAGGAATGTTAAGGTAAAGCCGAGATATTAGCCGAATTCATCAGGCCCTGGGAACCCAAGAACCCCTGTCAAAGCCCGAATTGAACTCAAGCATCCTACAGCTTCCAAAAAGCTTTACTAACCAGGGGTTCCCTTGGCTCTTTAGCTCCTTATTCAATAGGGATTATCATCATCCCTGGCTCCTTAGCTCCTCCAATATCAAAGGTTAGTTTATGTACTGGCTTGGAACCGGTATATAAGAAGTCCCCAAAACTTAGACTCACGAGCTACACTCAAGCCTTTTCAGTGTGAAAATGAGGCGCCCTAACTGCTTTTGGGGGTTTAGTTTTACCGATCATTCAGAGCTCCAAATAACATTTGGGCAAAAAACAACTATAGGGAACTATATAGACACTAAACGAAAGGTGCAATACTACAATCCTTCATGTAAGCGCCTCCCCTCCAAGATGGACCCTACTCTTCAGAAAGGTCCTGGCAGAGAGGACTGCCTTCTCTGCAGCGTCCTCCAGCATTCCAACGAGAGACCATGAGGTAAGCCCTATCAGCCCTCATAAACCCCAACTCCTAAACTTGGTCTGTCAGGTCTACTTGGAGGATCATGGGACTTAGTATGTAAGGTTATATGTACCTTAATTGGGGTGATAAGTAACTATAAGTATAGATGCCTTATTTATATCCCCAGTTACTAAGATCCTTTCAGTATCTTAGGGTTCATGTTTTGGGAACCTCGCATGACCGTGACGCAGGGGTCGGGGCTCTAGGCCCAGGGCTGGTACCGTATCAACTGGAACGGGACTTGCGGTGTCTTCTAGAGTCCATCTGAAGAAGTACGAGCGAGAAACGAAAACCCTAAACCCTAAACCCCTAAACCCTAAACCCTAAACCCCTAAACCCCTAAACCAACACTAAACCCTAAACCCCTACAGTAAACCCTCAACCCCTAAATCCCTAAACCCTAAACCCCTAAACCCTGACTGGGAAGCTTGCGAGGGCCTGGAAGGTCCAGAAGCTGCGGTTTAGGGTTGTGAAAACATGGTGGGGAAGGAATGCTTGGAGGCCCTTTTGACTTAGTAAGTAGGGTTAGTAAGGTGGGTTATGGGGTTTCTAATAGGGTTTCTAGGGGATACTAAGTAGAATTACTAAGTCAAAAGGGCCTCCAAGTGTCGCGCCCCAATACCGTTCTTTCGTGTTACAGGCAGAAGACTCTCAAAAATTACCTGTATCCCCAAACCCTACAACATACGGTTGATGATATAAATCCTGCATTATTACTCGTAATAGGGAACATACCATAATTCCCATAGTTTAGGGTCCTTAAGGTAATGCAGGATTTATATCATCAACAGTAGTAGGCTATAACCCTTAATTAGTTTCCCCCCCCCCCCTCGGTAGGTTTTTGGGCTTCCCCTAAGCCTCGAAGTTTCAACCTTCCACTGGGAAGCTGCAGTTCCGGGCTCTAGGGTCTGTAGGCCAGGCCTGTTTAGGGGTTTAGGGTTTAGGGTTTAGGGTTTAGGGTTTAGGGTTTAGGGTTTAGGGGCCTAGGCTGAAACTTTTAGGCTGCAACCCCAGATCCCTGAACCCGAAAAACTCCAAAAGCCCTACGTCCTTTCTCCCAAAACTTGCAACGCTAGGCCGGAAGCTCAAAACGCCCAAAAGCCTAAACCCGACTGGATTCTGACTCTAGCCCTTTAGTTTTGGTGTTTGCGCCAGCCTTTCTCTATGATGGGCGCTGATGTAACTTGAGTGGAAATTCAGGATATTCAGGTAGGCTTTCCGATTTCCGGTCGGGTAGGCAAGGCCCGCCTTAGCGCCTAACCCTGAACCCCTTAACTCGAAACCCCATCACTGCCAAACGCGACACCAATTTCCTTCTGCCTTGTAAAACCTCACACCGCCGAACCCTTAACGCTTTTCCCGCCCACCACCCCTCTCCTTCTGTGGGTACGTGGGATAAAGCCGGAAATTCTAAAGCTGAAATATACTGAAACCCCCCCAAACCCTACACTGAAACCCCTAAACCCCTCAACCCCTTGAACTCCGAATCCGAAACTGTCCCCTTCTTTGCATGGAGATTCGCTCCTGCGCCTCAGAGACGCTTCGCAGCGCCTGCAAAGCTGCTTTACAGCTTACGGTAAGGCTCTAAGGGCTCGTATTTCGAGGCTTTTGGGCCTAAAGACCATATTACATAAGGCTTTTGGGCCGTTTCGAGCCTTAGGGTTACGGTATAGGGTTTAGGGCAAGTACGGCTGTAAGTACTTTATTGGGCGCACAGTAGTTCCACACGTATGTATATATATATATATGTATGTATGAAGATATGTACATATACATACATGTATGTTACAAATACCGTATTTATGACCCTAGTTACTACGTCCAATGATCCCCTGGGTAGGATTTACACTTATGGGCATTTGGGGGGTTTAGGTGCGCGGCCTCCATCACCTGGAGCTGAGACATCTTTGCATCATCCCGGGCCCTCACCTGCTCGGTCATTGGCTTCTGAAGACTCCAGATTCTCATGATTCTTTTAATGGATTTTTGATTGGGGTCTTTATAGGGCTTAATGGCTTAATACGAAGGCCCGAAGACTTGGACTAGGATGTTAAGGGGTTCTGTCCTATGTATATTTTTTCATATACTGCCATAAATATTTCAAGGAAAGTGCTGTACTAAGCATTCAGACCTCTATGCTGCGACCTTGGAGGGTGTTTCGGCATAGATAGTGATGCTTTATTGGCTTTTGGTACGGACGTTGAAGGCTTTCGCGCGTTGGGGCCTTTGGGGTTTTGAGGGCTTTCGGTTTGCGGTGTTCAAAGAAGATTGTTTGGGCTTTGCGGCTCAGTGTAGCTGTCCCAGGTATGGGTTGATTGGCCGAGGACTGTGCTGCGCAGTGCAATGATGAGGTCACACTCCTGTTCTGCGATTCCTTGTCCTCCACTCGGCAAATGTCAACGGTCGACGACAATGTCAAGCCCAGCATGCACGGCGCTCGATCACCACTACACGCTTCATGCCCTGCCACACCCTACTTAAGGGATCATGGGACCTAAGCCCTAGACATCCCATTTGCTTTAATAGCATTCACGATGTCCCTATCTTGACGACAGCATAGCTCCTGGCATACTAGCAGCGGCACGAAGCCCACACATTAAAGCGCAAGCAGCGCGTTCACTTGCGAGTCTCCCGGAACACTAATTACAAATGGGCGGCGACCGCGTGATTGGAGTAGTTGTCGCGACGCTTGCTATCGTTTTCTTTGGGGCGCCTTGTGTGGTGGCTTTGCTGTTGTCAGCCTTTGTCAGGACTGTTGACTGCTCACTATATGCGCCTGTTGGCATTGCCGCTGCCGCATACTTGCACCAGCATTACCATGCTTGCTATTGCCCGGCTACTGAAGCTTAACTCGCTACCACAGTGCCGGGATTGCTGCTCCAATACTGCTGATAATGCGACTCGAACTGCCAATGTGAAGTATGAATTCTGGCACTACGGTTACTGCTGATCCTTGCAGTAACTTCTCTGCCTGTGAGTCCTGAACCCAAGCCCCTTCAAAAAACTGCGTCATGCACTGCTGTGGCTTGGGAGCAGTGCTGCTGCTACGACTATGCCTGCTGATGTTGCACAGCTCCGACTCACAAACAAAACCAACATCCTACGCACAAATGCCGAGTTATTAAGCATATCGGACGCTTAGGCAAGCCCCTCAACCCCAAACACAGCTTAATCTAGTAATCTAGTATGCTGAAGCAAAAAATGGAATGACAACACCTCCTGAAATGCGGTCTCTTAAGGTTTGGGTTTAGAGCTTAGTGTCCTTATGCTACGATCCGCCCGTTTGGAGCTGATATTTTCTGGAGCTCAACCCAAAGCGCATTCGTGCAGTCTGCTTAATGGACCCTCTTTTATCTGAGCATTGATGGTCCCTAAACCCAAAACTCACTGGCCCAAAGCCCCAAAACACGGACGTTGAATCTTTCAGAATCGACTACCTTATAAGAACCCCAACAGGTGAAAAGTTGAGCTTACAGCCAACAAGTAAACTGCACGGAGCCCATCAGGGGTTTGTAGCTTGAGGGTTCCACCCTCACGTAAATACCCTAAACCCTATATGCTAAGCCCTAAACCATAGCTCCGTGCCGACCCCAAGATGTTCTCCCCTGGGTTGAAACGATACGCAAAACAACCCTGGGATCCCGAGTAGTTTACTTTCTAAAAATATTTTCCGTGCTTCAGATAATTTGCATATTTCGCGAACTAGTTTACCTACAAAGAAATGGGGCTCCCTTTTTATAGGTCGGTATTTGTATAGTTTGACAATCAACCTAAGACTACGAAAAGGAAGAAAAGGCCCGCTGGGCATCCCTGCAGCCCAAAGCCCTCAACCGAGAACCCTAAACCTTTGGGGTTTAGGGTTTAGGGTTTAGGGGTTTAGGGTTTGGGGTTTAGGGGTTTAGGGTTTAGGGTTTAGGGTTCTAAGCCCGCTTTAAAACCCGAAACCACTTTTGAAGTGCTAAGAACCCTTTTAAAACCCTAAACCGCCTGTAGAATCCGAAACACCTTGAACCCTCCCGCCCCATTCCCAGAGACTCCAATATCCCTTGATTAAGGAATATACCTTAAATCATATTAGGGATCCTAGTATAATTTACGGTATATTCCTTAATTAACGGATATTGGAGTCTCTGGGTTTCGTCTGCTCTCACCCTGGCATGCGCAGCCAGCGACAGCGCCCCGAGTTCTTCTTTTGTCGGCTTCAACGGAGGTCTTGGCTGAAGAACACGTTGTTTAGTGGCTTAGAAGGGAGATGCGTTCAGGGTTTAGCGGTTTAGGGTTTAGGGGTCTGAAGATCCTGATTTGCTTTCTAGGTTGCTGAGTAGCCCCTACATAATAAGGGTAATTAGGGGACCCTAAATACCACAAGGGAAAAGGGTCCTACTCAGGAACCTAGCTGTGTCGTGGGTTAGCTGGGGGATGGGTTAAACGTTTAGGTTTAGGGGTTTAGGGTTGATTTGTTTATAGCCTAATAGTCTATAGAGCTGTATGCTGCTTCTCATTCTTGTAGTGGACTGAAGAGTAAGTTATCCTGAAGCTGCTTTTGGGCCTTGTGCGAGACTGTGAGGCTTGTTTCAAGTTGCGGGCTTGCAGGATTTGGGATTGCATAATATCCCCGTATACCTTATCCCTGAATGTTGTTATCGTTTACTTTTCTTCTTATCGTTTTACCACGAAAACTTCGTTATCGTTTTGTTATGGCTTTATTTTCTTCTTGATGTTTTCCACGGAAAACCATCAACACCGAACACGGACATGTCAAGATTAAACTTAACAGCCACAGGGTTTTCATACAGTCCCAGTTGGGAGCTTCCGAAAATTAGGGGCACCTTATTTGGGGGGAGCCTTATAATTCTAGGGGCTGCGCCCAGGTGCGGGCAGCGCAAGTAGAAGCCTGAAGCTAGGCCACGCACCCCTCGTGTTTTCCCCTCCCCTTGCCCTCCCAGCCCTCGTCGGCAGCCCGCACCCGCGCTCCGCCGAACCCCGCTGACGCTGAGCCCTTTTGGGGGCTTCCCAAACCAACTCAAAAACTGGCAAAACATAGCCTCCGGCCACAAGGCCGGTTAAGGGCGCCCGAGGGCTCATGATGCTCGCCGGCTGGCCTCCCTGGTCGTCCACCGCGGCCCCGAAACCCGCCATACCGTGGGGAATGGCTGCAAAACGCCTGCGCGTTCCGAGAAGCCTCCGGGCGAGGTCCCGCGCGGCCCACTGGAAAAACGAAGGTCCGATGAAGCAGGGTCGGCGGCTCGGGCGGTTGTGGCTTCTGCTTCGCAGAACAAGCTGATTCGTCTGAGCTAAGCTCAGAACATACAGGGCAGCGAGCGCTGCCCGATTTAAGGGCTTACGCCGCTGACCCCGCAAAAGGGGTCGGCACCAGGACTCTGAATAAATGTTTCGGGCGCCGTTCACCAAAGAGCCTTGGCACCGCTCACGAATCTCTTTCCTGAAAGCAGCATCCAACTCTCGGCCACGGTAGTCGTCCACAAACTTCAAGAGCCGTTTCTTGAAAGACTTCACGTTAGGCGAATTCATCTTGTAGGGTCGAGAGCACAGAAACCCGAGGGCCCGAAAACCAAGGGCAGGGGTGACGGGAGGGGGGACGGCGTGGAGGAAGGAGAGGGGGGGAGCTGGGCAAGGGGGGTAGGGTCGGGCGCACAGAAACCCGAGGGCCCAAACGCTCGCAGCGGGGTGGCGGATAAGGATCCCACCATTGAGGGTGCGATTTTAGGGGTCCCCAAATTTTCGGAAATTCTCATCTGACGCGGTCTTGTAGGGCTGGCTCTGGAGGTTGGCCTCAAACCCTGCATAAACCGAAGGGACTTAATAACTAGAATAATAATTAGAACGGGGTTCCCTTTGAAGGGTTCCATTTAAAGGGGACCGTAAGGAGTACTATAAGGGGTAGTATAAGGGGTTTAATACAAGGGCCTTCATAATTAGCGTAGGGTTTTGGGGCCCATTCTACTATAAATGGAATAAGGAACCCCGACACAGTATGGGCAAGCTTTTGGGCCCCTAGATTACAAGCCAAAACAAGATGAGCCCCTGAACGGCCCAAAGGGCCATTGCAAAGCACCAACCCACTGAAACTAAATCCCTAAACCCCCAACCCTACAACCTCCCGAAACCCCAGATCCTAATTAGATGCAAAAATCTGACCATGAAACCCTTACAAACAAACCCGCCTCTCCCATGATAGTAGGGAGCCTAATCTCAATGCCCCTAGAACAAGGGGGTCTCTACATCAATTATTCCGACGCGTAGCGATTACACCCTCGTCTTATGCCCCTGCCTCTGATGGGCATTCATTGGAAGGTTAGCCTGCCGGCACGAGGTTTAAGGGCTAACATAAAGAACTACCTATGTAGGTGTCTGGGTTTAGGCTAGGGTTCAGGCTTTGGGGCGTTTGGGCGTTCAGGCTTTCGGGCTCTCGTCGATGTTGCTTTTGGCTCTCAGCTTCGGGTTCTACGCGTAGGGCTTTGGATTAGGGTTTAAGGCTTACTTGGCGGATCATGGGACTTAGTAAGTAAGGTTATAAGTACCTAAAATGGGCTTATAAGTGGTTATAAGTATAGTTACCTTAGTAATAACCCCAGTTCCTCAGTCCCATGATCCTTTAAGTAGACCCAAAACCCAAACCCCATAGATCCCTTTAGGGAACCCTTGTAGATCCCTTTAAGGCCCCCTTTTTAAGGAAACCTACCCTCAAGTAAGATCCTTAAAGTAGGGTTTAGAGTTTGGGAGGTTGATGCTCGGAGCTTTGGCTGTTAAGGTCTGACAAAGTCGAACTAATCCCGAAGCCCCATAGACCCCTTACAGTAAAAGCCATAAAGTTGGAAGCCGGATAAAGGCCAAATAGTGCTGGGATTCCCTATACATGACTCTTAGGGATTGGGTCTCTGGGGTTTCCAACTTTTGGGCTTCTACTATTTTTTACTTTA